GTTTTTTTTTTTATTTTATTAAGTTTATAATTATAAATCTTATAAATCCTTAATAAATAACTAATAGCTAAAGCTAAATAAGATTATAATATTACTATCTCCTTATAGAGCTTAAGAAGATCTTTACTTATTTTATTTTTATTATTCTTTAGTTTTTTTTCTTATTTTATTAAATTTATAATTATTATAATTAGTAAAAAAAGCTAGTAAAAATAATATATAATAAACCTATAAGAATATATAATATAAATACTATTATAAGACTTTTTAGCCTAAATATACTTATTATAATAAGTAAAATTAATAGATATTAAATACTTTTTATTTACCTAAAAATAATAAGTATAAGGCATATTAGCTTTTTTATTAATAAACTTAATAAAAAGTATAAATATTTAGATTTTATAATCCTTATAAAATAACTATTTAAATATATAATTAAATATTATAAGATATAATAATAAAAGGTTTAAGTTAGATCTTATTAAAAGAAGACTAATATTAGTTAAAATAATAGGCCTTAGGGATAAGATTACTAGAGGGGAGAGATTATATTATAATTTTAGTAGTTATATTATATATATCCTATAAAAGACTTTACCTTAGGAATTAACTAAGTAAGGACTAATAAATATAAGAATAATAATACTTTAGGATTATATTATTCTAGGATTAATAGTAACCTTATATTATATTACTTTTATATAATTAATAGTAATATATAAGACATATTTATTAGCACTTTTATAGAACTTAGCTTATTAGCTATTAATAATAATTCTTTAAATTAATAAGCCTAATATAGATTACTTAATTATTAAGAAAAATAATACTTTATATTACTTAGTATTATACACTATACAATCTGCAAATATAAACCTAATATAAACTAGCTACCTGTTTGGAAACCTAACTATTATAATAATATTACTCTTAGTATATAAATTATATTTACTAGTACTTTTATAAACTTAGCTTATTAGCTATTAATAAGACTTCTTTATATTAATAAGCCTAATATATATTATTTAATTATTAAGAGATATAATAACTAACTTACTTAGTTTAAATGCCTTATATAATCTGTTAATATATACCTAGTATGAACTAGTTTCCCTGCTTGAAACCCTATTCGTCACAGGGAACGCCTTAGACGAATCGCGTCCACTTAAATTACACCGAGTCTCACTATCCTCTTCAATTCTTTCAACTGTTCAATACGACTCTGCGAGGTAGCCATCTTCACTTTTCGCAATGTCCTTGTTGGCGCTAAACCCGATTCCTTGAGTCCCATTTTCTCACTCTGCAGTTTGTCATACATCGCTTCGTGCTGCTTACAAAACCACGATAATTTCCGGGACATTGACGTCTGGCGAGATGCGATTCGCGATCCCCAAGAGCGCCATGTGTTCAGTGGTTTGGCTGGCGTTGTTTGGCCGCAGGTATCCTCGACCACTGATGATACCCTCATGTCCCAACCGCCGATGGCCACCAAGCAAACCCAGATGCCGACACTCATGAGGCTGGGGGTTTCTGGCCAGCAGAACCCACCCAGGCGAAACTCAGTGATTGAATTCGACTTTATGCAAGAAGAATCGCTCTTCAGTGATATACCCAATCCGTTTTGGGAACTCGAAGCAATGTCCGAGTCGTCGTTTACGAGCGTCGAGAACTTACAGCGAACTTCAAGTACTCTCAAGGACTTACAAGCATCAGCGATCGTGTCTAACCTTATTTGCTTCCTGACAGAATGTGGGGACCTGCTCCACGTTTTCTCCGGGCGTGGGGTAACAACGAAGGACTTGTACTCCTGTATCGCCTTCACCCAGGGAGGATCCGAGGCTAAAACCCTGGTGAACTCTTGTGTACAACGTCTCAAGAGTTATGATGCATCTCAGAATCCGCCTACAGCAGGAATTATATCTATTGTAGAGAGATTCGTCGCGCTCGGGTACCTGCAGACTCCAGAAGAGCTACGAAAGTATATGCTTTGCGTGGGACGGGTAAGTGGTCAAACACCTCCAAAAACGGGAGTGCAGTTGAGCTGATAATTTCCAAGAGGGTCATACTCGAAGACGAACCCTTTGCAGAGTTTTGCCAGTCAGTCTGTGAGTCAACAGCTACCGTCATCAGACCTCCAACGCCTCCACGTGGAGGAGGCCGACGAAGGGGACCAGCGCCCAGATTGATTCCTGGCCGGTAAGTTGACTCTCTTTTTTATCTTTTGTGGTTGTCAAGCTTACTGAGATTTTGCTTGACCAGAGAGATCTCGTGCGACGTATGCGGTCAATTATTTCCGAGGACGTACAACAAAAACCGACATGTTAAGACCAAACATCCATGGTTCCAGCCCAGCCCAGACGCCGACGCGTTGATACAGGGTAGCGTGCGATTAGCAGCTTAGGTCGGCGAATGGCACAAGTCAGGGGATACCCGGGGTTTTTCATTTTGCAGCGCAAGGCGTCAATTTACGCGGAAAACGACTTGTTGTAGTAGGACAGCTGTTAGAGCGTACTAGGCTGGGCCAGGATAGCCCGATGCTGATGAAGTCTCCCTATTATTCAAGACTCATCTGATGCTTTGCTGTACCACTGGCGACTCACGCTTGTCCAATCGTCGCAATCTTTGATATCGCCCTGCTGAATGGGAATTAGATCAATGGAAATTGAAGGCTTTTCAGTTTTATGTCATCGTCTGCGTCAATGTCTCTCCCCAACTCTACGGCAGCAACGGCGGTGTGATCTTTGAGCAACGTAACACCATGGCGGTGTCAAGGAACACACATTGCAAATCCACCGAAATACCCGAAGCAAACGATCACAATCGCTATATTTGCCTCTTTTTTTTCGTCATGAGTAATGCAAACACAACCAAGTCTTGAAATGATCAACTACCGACTGGGTCCCGCAGGAGGCCTCGGGCCCCAGTAGGCAATTTGAGTTTATCTACAAGAAACTTAACGAATGCCGGGGTAAAACGCGTTTAAGATTAAAGATCTGAATAAGCACAAAACGCCAATAAAACCACCGACCGTGGAGTGACAGCAGATCGGAATTGAGGCTTGGTCAAGCACACGACACTTGCCGCGTGGCTGCCAACCTTTTCTATACATGTATTCCAAAATAGTAGCACACCAACACTGAAACAAGTTTAAGTCCCAGGTACAGCACAGCAAACAGGTGCCTCTAGCCGGAATGGCATCGCCACAGAGAGTCAGTGAAACAGTTGGAGTGGATCTGAGGGTTACACCTGAGAGGTCGATGATGGAATTGCGGCTGGTGATGACAAGTAAAGATGGCGCAGACCTTGGAAGGGCCTAAGATCAGCGCAGGGATGAGCTGAATAGCGGGTTGTGGTTGGGTAGCGCAGGGGTTCAGGCGGTGGGATATGACGCAGTGCGCTATGATTCTTCATGCAGGGCCTGAAATGACAGGAGAGAAATCAAGCAATCAAGCTGAGGGAGGCAGGGGAGCTGAGAGCTATATCAAGGAGAGGTCCTGCTCCCGTTTCTCTCCTCCATCATTCATCAATCCCTCACCTAAACAACTACTTTTCTCTACACTCAACCAACTCACAAATACAAACATCTTCATCACATAACTCCACTTACACCTACACACAACAACAACACTCAAGATGCTCTTCACACAAGTCGCCCTCCTCGCAGCCGCAACCCTCGTCGCCGGCAACGCAGCCCCCCAGCCCGAAATCACCCAACCCGCTGTCCTCCCCCGCGACATCATCCCCGACGACGTCAAGTCCTGGGCCGAAGGCAAAGCCTCCGCCGCCGGCCAGGACGTCGACGACTGGGTCAAGAGCCACTACTCCGAAGCCGAGCAATGGGCCTCCGACAAGGGCGGCGACGCCAAGACCTGGGTTGAAGGTCAAGCCTCCGAGGCACGCGACAAGGGCTCCGAGATTGCTTCTCGCGCCAGCACTGCTTTCGACGGCGTGAGCTCCCGGGTTCGCACTGCTATCGATGAGGCTAGCGCTAGTGCCTCTGCTGCGTCGAATAACGACAATGCTGCTGCTACTGTTGGCGGCGGTCAAGCTGGCGTTGTTGCTTTGATGGCTGCTGTTGGTGCTGCTGTCTTCGCCTTCATGGCTTAAACGCTTCATAGCCTGAACGACTTGTTTTACTTGCGACACCTTGATACCTTATGCGGCATGGACTTCAAATTGCATCGGAGTTTACGGAACACTGGAGCATAGAGAACGGCAACATTTAGAATGTTTGGTCGGGAATGGCTCGGTTAGGGAATAGGAATGGATTGACGCTGAATCATGAGAGCGGCAAAGACCTACTTAGAAACAATTCAACGCTTACGAACTTTTAATCGCTTTGGCATGGTGATGACTGTATGGAATTTCTCATGTTGAGTGGCTTGTCCAACTCGGCAAACCGCCTGTGACCTGATGCATTTGTTCTATGATACATACCTGTCTACAATAATATACAATTCTATACCCAGTATCCAAACAAACAATGAGTCGCGATTCTATCCATCATCACTTTTATACAACATCATCCACATGTTCATCACTGCTTACCCCTCAACTGCAACCCATACGGCGCAAGCTGTTCCGCCGTAACCCTCGTCGGCGCCTTGACAAATGGATCATCACCCTTCATCGTCTTCGGAAACGCAATGACATCCCTCACAGTAGTCGTATCCGTCAACAGCGCAACCAACCGATCAAAGCCCAGCGCGAATCCCGCATGCGGCGGACACCCCGCCCTCAACGCATCAAACAAATGCGCAAAGTCCTCAATCCTACTATCCTTCATCTTGAGAATATCCCGCATGATGAACTCCTGCACGGTAGGTATGTGGATACGCTCGCTACCGCCGCCGACTTCTACGCCGTTGAGGACGAGATCGTATGCTGCGCTCTTGGCCTGTAACGGGTCTGTGAAGAGAAGTTCGAGATCGTATTTCGATTTAGGGGCTGTGAAGGGGTGGTGCGCTGCTGCGATACCGGCAGAGCCTTCTTGGCCTGGATCGTTGTCCTCGCCGGTGGGCTTGAACATGGGAAAGTCGGTTACCCAGACGAATTGCATTGACTCGGGTGTACCAGGTGCGGGCAGGTCTTCTACGAGACCGTCGCCAAGAAGCTTCCTGTACAACTCATTGCGGATTTCACCAATTGCGGTAGAAGCACGGTAATACTGACCCTTTGGCTTCTCACGCGCTTGGAAGACGAGAATGTCACCCTCAAGAACACCCTTTCCGCCAGTTGCGATATTGACAATCTCGTCGCACTCTACACCGAGTGAAGAGAAGCCGCCGCGAGGTTGCCTGGAGTCGCAGACTAGTATCACTGGCATTCCGTCTTTATTCTCGCGGAGATGTTTCGGTAGTGATTCAATGAACTGTTCGGTGAAGCGTTTTGGTCTTGGAATGTCGTCGTCAACATCTTTAACGGGGATATGGAAGGCTTCGATCAGGGGATCTTGGAGGTATGTCATCATGCTGGCGAATTGTTCGCACATTTCGTTTGGTATCGCGTAAATCTGGAAATGTTAGGAGGAGATCGGCGAAGGGAGGATGCAGCGTACTCTTCCTGGGAGGCGCAAGTCTGGCTTGTCAGTTCCGTACATCGAAATGCAATCCTGGAACGTAAGTGTCGTGACCTTGTGCTGAACCGGTTCATCAGCAGGACGAGAACCTTCAGGAATGTCCGAAACTACAGGCACACGGCTTCCTCGGATGGTCTTGTAGCTATGCGCAGGTCGCAAAGCCTCAAGCGACCGTAGCACAATATCCGTAACATCCTTCCTCACCACCTCAGCATTCGCAAACGCCCACTCCATATCAAGTTGTGTAAACTCTGGCTGCCGATCCGTACGAGCGTCCTCATCACGATAACAGCGCGCCCACTGCATGTATCGCGAAACTCCACTCGCCATAAGAACCTGTTTGTACTGCTGAGGACTTTGTGTGAGAGCATATGCGTAACCGGGTCGGCGGGTTGGTACGAGGAATTCTCGTGCGCCTTCGGGCGTTGACTTGAATAGTGTCGGCGTCTCGATATCTGTAAAGCCCTTGTCTTGCAGGCCAGCTGTCAATTGTCCCTTGAGCCACGATCGGAATTGAAGTCTTGCTAGCAACTCTGGGTGATGGCGCAGTTGGTAATGGCGCTTGGTATCGGGGAATATGACGTCGGGCGTTACGATGAGATTTTGCTGCACATCGTTCAATGGTCGAATGTCCTTAACGTAAAAGGTTCGCTTGGAGGATTGCTTCTCGGCGTCTGGGCTTGTATTCGCTTCGCTCTCGGTGCTAACGACGACTGGACTTGTTGCGCGAATACTTCGAAAGAGCGCAGAGGCTTCGGGATATTTCGTTGAGTCGGCGCATAGCTGAATAACCTCGCCTGACGGTAGAACGAGATCGGCGAACGAGAGCTTCGAAGACATGTTCCTCCTCTTATTCATGAACCCCGCGTATTGCCCATTGGCACCAGGTGTAGTCGGTATACCCGCATTGCTATCTGGCGCAAGTTAGCACCGACCATAGCGGGCATTGAAGTCGTCGTACACTGATCCCAGAGGTTGAGAACGTCATCTTTCGTGGGCTGGGTTTTTGAGTAGGCGATGGAGGATTGGCTGAAGCTTCGGGGGAGGATTGGCCGGGCGCGAAGGGGAATTAAAGATCGAGTGCGTATGCTGAGGCGCATAGAGGCGCGACAACGAGAGAGAGGGAGTGCCATGGTTATTGTTGCGTCAATTGAGGCATTGTTTGGAGGATGGTGGGCCGATTGACATCGAATTTCGTGGTGAGCTCGGTGAGAGGGGCTTATCGATAAGGAAATTGTTCACCTTCCCCGGTACCGGCTGTCATCAGACGACAGCAGCATGGTTAGTTACACTGCCCGACCCTCGAGACGGAGAACAGCGCTTTGTCAATGGATATTTCATGGTCGGAGGCGTTTCATCTGGCATTCTCTCACGTGCGCCAACTTTCTTCACGTGGACTAGAACGCCAGCACCAACAATGTCATGAAACGATCCATCAGCCATCAAATCCCTGACGATGAGCGCTCAATTGGTCGCGCCTCAATTGGCGATGATGCTTGAATATTCAAATGGTATTGTGCCAGGCTTGCTAAGCTTTCCCTATGATACAAATCCCCAACTCGAGCGTAAGTTATCTGGGCCCAAGATCAATCTTCCCTTGGTGTAACGATACTTCGTCACCTGATCCTCGATCACTCGGATCAATATGCGGTATGCTTCCATCACTTGTAGCAAGTCCCCTTTGACTTGAGTTGGGTTCATATGCATCATCTATCCGATGAAAATGCCCTGTCTTTCCACCCGTTCCTCCAATTGTGACAAGTTCTGCTTGCATTCCGGTGTGAGCAGCTGCATCTTTTCTGGATGTGATGCTTTCGAACTTGGATGAGATCATAAGCATTAGTGGTCGGAGTGTTGGGAGACAGAGGGCGATGGTTCCGCAGGCTACTTCGACGACACACCAGGTGCAAGCTGTAGCGAGGGTCCCTGTTCAAGTTAGTTGAGAGTCGCACGCGTGTCGCTCGAGTTCTTACATGTTGTATCCACTGGATCGAATTGCATGATTGTCGTGAATCGGTATATACTGGCGAACAGGACACTAAACGGATCAATACCAAGCGCTCACAGGCGGGTGGACGAGGACTTACAAGCTGCCGAGCAAAAAGATAACTAACAGCGACAACTTTTGCGCCATGTTCACCTGCAACTTCACAATCTGCCCGACCGGCAGACACAAAATCGCAACATCTGTTGCGATATTCGGAATCGCATTGCCGATAAACGACGCCTTGAGGTTGATGCAAGTCCCATCAATCCAGGGCATCCAAGCCTTTTTGATCGGATGGCACTGGAAGATACACACAGCGCAAATTGCAATCCACCATCCAATTACAACAGCAGCGATGAGGGCAGACGCCAATCGGAAGTTTCGAGATGGGAAGATGCGCAGGTACATCGATAGAAGGGCGAGTTTGATGAGCATCACCGCCGTGACGTAGATGTTTTCGAAGGCGAGGAGGATCTTGAAGAAGATGATTTGATCTTCTGTCGACACGCGCTTCGCATGCTTTCCGAGACCATGCGCAATCACTACTCGACTGTTAGCGGCGACGATATAACCCAATTGTATTACTTACTGCCATAATTGAGTCCACCAGTGATGAAAACAAAGACCTAGCCCAATGTCAGAATTGTACAACTCTTGGCACCCAATCAAACCCACCAGCGCTACCAGAGTCAACCAGTCATCAGTTCCATATCCAATCCTCACATATCGCGCCCAGAAGCGCAAAGCGACAAACACAACGGACAGCACGAGAACAATTGTCGTCGTGGCACTGAGCTCGCTGCTCCGATCGGCGTTCACGTCACGGCCATACAACGAGGCCATACTGAAGAAACGATGATGCTGAAACGGAAGGGAGACGAGTTCACATGAGGGGATGTCGAAGGGATAAAGTAACAGAGCACCACAGTACGAAGGAAGAAAAATGGTATTCCAGAACCAGCGGGCTCTAAAGTTAGTTCGCATCTCGAACCCGCCCCGGATATTTCTCACAACATAAAGCTCCCGTCCGTTCTCACTAGCGAGAAACGCTAGCTGGGCGTTGCGAGGTAGGGGTTCTGGATTACTGGGTGGCTTTACGACGCCACCGGGGAAGACTCCCTAACTTTGTGGGCGATCATCCCATCGGCCAGTCAGACACTCGCGGGTTCATCTAGCGTTGTCAGATGTCAATTTCGGTCGAGTCAAGCCTAACGAGTCGCCGTTTGTTGTATTGTTGCCCAATCTAAACCTGCGAGAATGAAGATCTTCTTTGCTCGCAGAAGCAAAAAAAAGAAGCAAAAAATACACAACGAGTCAGAGCAGCCGATCATTGTGAAAAAATTGCAGCGTTGCACTCGTACTGTACCAACTCGGCTCTAATATGGCCCGGTACCTATTTAGAAGTCTGAACTAGACAAGGGACGTGGCTGTTTTTGGATCCGTTGAAACGCGGCACCGCGAAGAACAATTGAGGCCTTACCGTCTTAGGAACTCGGCTCACAGCCTTATCATCTTAAAATGCACCTAATGCGCCCTGTCGAGTGCTTCGGCGACGGGCGGAACCAGTGCCCCGTGTGCTGATCAGTCTCAGTTAGGCCGCTCACTATTCTTTCCGAAATCAACGGTTTTAACTGGTCCCCTATTAGCTCTTTGACCTTATTATGAGCAGTCATAATCACATAATGCAATAATGGCTTTCACAATCATCCGAGTCTGAGCTCGACGGACGTCGAGTCGAGTCTTGATGTTTGAATCAGATGAAACAATTCACCCGGCATTTCGGCACCTCATGCCCAGCAGCGTGGTATCGGCACTGGAACACGCAATCCTTGCCCCATGCTAGGCGAACAAGGTTCGATATCCTCTGGCGTTCTTTCTAAGCCTGGTTTGGCTTCACCTCCTGAATTCACCAAATTCCCGGGAAAACTGAAACAAAGAATACCATTGTTCAAACTTGACTAAAAGCGATCTGCCATATAATTCCTCTATTTGATCTGTGCAATCAAGGTATCGAAATCAACCAGGTCCCAGACTTGGGCAAATTTTCCATCGACGACATGGTACAGCGTGAATTGATTCGTCTCCATTCTGCGGCCGGTGGCTTTGTAGCCTCGAAAGTCCCCCTTGTGAGTTCCCGTGACTTTGAAAAGAAGGGAAAGATAGTCGCCTTCGATGGTGAGGTTTCGCAGGTTCCAGTGCCAGTCGGGAAATGCGTCGATCATGGGTTGGAAGGAAGACGTTGCTTCTTCTGGGGTTATTGGTTTGTCGTTGACGACAAGAGGGGACGCGTAGAATGATCTCATCGCTTCAAAGTTGTGAGCGTTGCAGTGTTCCAGATATGTTTTGTATAACGCTCGATACTCGTCAATTGATTTGGATTGGCTGGGTGCTTGTTGACTGGCCATTGTGTTGGTATGACTGGGGCAAACTAGCTTGTTTGGAAATAGGTAGTGATGAACCGTTGACGGGGAGCTTGCAAGGGATATCCGAGGCTAAACGAGAGTGGAACTGTTACTAAATCTTCAGACAACCGTACAGACGCTAGCAATTTATATTTGAATCGTGAGCAAGAGGATTATGTGTTGATATTATCCAAGGCTTACATTGCCGCTTACTGATCTTTGTCATGACTGAGCATGTGTGATGATAGGCCAGAAGGATGGTCAGCGCAGCATGTTGCCCGAAACAGACAGCATTATATGCGGCCAAGATATCTGCAGGAGTATCTGCAAGCTGAGGAGGTCCATCTTGCTGGAATGATTATATACATATATGGAATCCTTCCCGGGTCAGTCAACACAGCTTTAGAGGTAACGAGGGGAAATCTCTTGTTCCGAGATAAATCTCAAAATCACAACGCTTCAGGCCGCCAGCTGAAGTTAGATGTGATGGACAAGGCCAAGTCTGACGATGTGAGTTTCGTGAAATCAAGAGCGACTGACCATACTTCTGAAACAAGCGCCATGATCTTAATATCCAGATCGAATTCTCTAGGATTGTTCCTATTCATGTCAGCCTCTACAGAGAGAACACTGCCCGAGGAAAATTTAGGCAGTGCCTGCAATCTCTGCTTACGCCTACCACAATGAGGCTATCATTCTTCTAGAAGGATAGACCTAGCTGGTATGTCAAGCTGCATTTAACTTTGCTAGGCCAGGCTAACCAAGATCCAGATTGAACTTTATCGACTTCTTTGGAGTTTGGGTGCTGTTTTGACCAGCAGAACCCTGATCGGCCAAATGTTAGCCGCGTTTGACGCATGCCATATCCAACTAAGCCCAATTCAAATCTAGTCCAAACCCACAGCTTTATCAAAATTGACTCGCGCTCTGCAGCGTAAACCCTGCGCGCGTCGCAACGAGATATGACGGACCCTGCAATTGAGTGGATTCAACTGAAACTGGACCCCTCAACGAGCGAGGCGCTGCTAGTCCGCAGACTAACTTAAGACATTACTTATTCTATCGTGTTTCCTCTCCAGATTCTCTCCAGTTTACTATCTTCAAGTCTATTTGAACCTCATCATGTCTAACCCTACTATCGTCTTCGCTCCTGGTGCGTGGCACACAGCTGATTGCTACGATGTCGTGCGAAAAGAACTCCATGCCAAGGGCTGGGAGACCGAGGCTGTTGATTATCCCTCTGTGGGCGCTGAGCCTCCTACCAAAGGCTTGAGCGACGATGTCGCCGCTGTGCGAGCTGTTGTTGAGAAGTTGGTTGAGGAAGGCAAGAAGGTCATGGTTGTTGTGCACTCGTACGGTGGTCTTGTTGGTGCTGAGGCTGTCAAAGGCTTGGGCTTGAAGCAGCGCGCACAGGAGGGTAAGACAGGCGGTGTGATTCAGCTTGTTTACCTGAGTGCTTTCGTCATGCCAAAGGGAGCTAGTATTCTCGGGGCCCTTGGAGGACAGTATCTTCCCTGGATGCGAGTCGAGGTAAGTTGTATATCGCTCATATCAAGATGATTTCCTAACAACGAACAGGGAGATTATGTCTATGCTGAGACCCCCGACAACGTCTTCTACCACGACGTTGATCCTGAAACTCAAACCAAGGCCATTGCTGCCTTGAAGCATCAATCTCGTCGCGTGTACACCGATAACGTCGAGTACGAACCATGGCACGACGTTCCCTGCTTCTTCATTTTCTGCAACGAAGACCGTGCTATTCCTTTGGCTATTCAAGAGAATCTGGCTTCTACGCTTGGCCCTGATGCTGGAAGCTTCCACATCAAGAGCTCTCACTCGCCGTTCCTCTCGCTACCAAAGGAGACGGTTGAGGGGTTGGAGAAAGCTGCTCAGGATGGTTTGACCAAGAGCTCAAGCTAGATGTGCTGGCGGCTTTTATACCATAAATTCAACGTTAGCGTATTGAAATCATGATTTGATGGGAATATCAATCGCTGTGCATGAGATGTGACGAGCCTATACTATTCTGACCGCATGCGGGGGTCATCTCGTGATTAGATTCAAATCATCCGCCGGTACTTCCTTGCCTGTGTTACACAAGGAGTAAATATGTAGTTGCCTCCATTTGTATATTCATTCCTCAAGATGGTTCCGTACACAAGACCTACTCGGTATAACGAATCGTGAGCTGCGAAACATCTTGTCACACGTGGTCACTTGAACTTTGTATAGAGTCACGTGTGTTTAGGCACCGAGTCCAGGCAGCCATCATGTCTCTCGACTTTCACTTTCTCTCATCTCGAGACCCAATCACGAACCGAAACCTTGTTCAAAAGATCCTATCGGCGCTTTTTCTTCCTCTAAGATGATATCATGGAAAGCCTTGATTTACCGCCCTTCTATAAAAAGCCCAAGTACCCCCGCTGCTTCACTCCTGGACCGATCTGGTGCAAAACATATCTTCTTAGCCATGCCGTCTGACATTTTCAACTGGCTCCCGCCTGAAGTTCATCTCAAAATTGTGGACAATCTCCAGTCGCTTCACAACACTCGATCTTTTACCTCGGCTTCCCCAACCGCAAGACGCTATTTTCATGCTAACCAACGCACTTCTTTTCTATGGCCTTACATCCTAGACATACAAGCAAATTTCGGGGATGAAGCACTTGTACCACTGGCATTGATTCTCCTGCAAGTGCGAAAGGTACGTGCCCAGACTCGTGGGTTAACGTCACTCCAGATCGAGCAACGCATCAGACCCTACCTCGACGCCGTAGCTCGCTTCGATAAATCAGAACCCGCCGAGGAATGGAAAACGAACTTGGGCTGTATTTCAGCCGTAATGAATATGATTCGGGAATTTGGCCCCATAACAGCAGGCTCGGTGAACGGATTCCGAAACCACTTATCGGGGATAGCAAGATATGACATAAACATATTTGCAAATCGGGGCCACACCATTAATGTTTTTCTCCGTTACGATCTCTACTGCCAGTTAGCCTGTAACGGAGAAGAAAGGCTTTTCACACAAAGAGAAGCAGAAAGAGAACAGGTCAATGAACTCGAATCTTATCTCCATAAGCGTTTAAAACACCCACACCAAGCTCATCACCCGTGGATCCCCGACACCATGATGAAGCTAATTAAACAGCGACACAGTGACATTCTACTTTCCGTTGACGACACGTTCGGGATTTCTAGGAGCGCACGGAGAGAGCGTAACCAGGTGGAGGATATCATACGCCTTGGAGGCCCAGGCCCTTCCGTCTTGAGACGCCTTCAACAATGCCGGTTTGTTACGAGACAACGGGATGATGAGACCACATACCTCGATTACGTGTCTCTGCAGGGATTTTCTTTTCTCCACCACTTGGAACAACTTGAAGCAGAGGCCCAGAAACCGTACGTTCTCGACATCTTTTTCAAAGTGACCACAAAGAGATTACAAGAGCTGGCTGGGATAAGGGTAGCTACTCGATCTGCCGCGAGGCGAGAGAGTATCTACCAGACTTATGCTTTCAGTTGGGGATGAGAGGTGAGTTGAGAGCTGGCGAGATTGAGAAGCACAAAAGCCAGATTGCGCCTGGCTTTGCATAACATATATATACTCCAATAAACAACAGAGATCACTCCAAATACAACCTTTAGAGCGTGGTCTGAATAGAGCTAGCAAGGTGAAACTTTAAGTATTGCGTGCTCCAAGATGCACCTAAATAAAGCACAAGAAAGAAGAAACTTTCTTTGAACCACCAGATCTCTGTATCAAATCAGAAGCCCTATAAAACATCATAAATGTAGGTACTTATGGAGCTTGAGAGTATATATAATATAAGCTGTTAATTTTATACATCGCCTTGATCTGGTTTAATGAGATATTGACAACGTTTGCACATACTAAAGAAGTTTAAAATTCAAAGCTGAGCATATAAATTGCGCAATTACATGTTTGTGTCGGGGCTGAAGCCTCTTTCAACCTCATAACCTTATCACAGTATGTTGAAACACAAACATATTGCAAGCGTGGTTATGAACGCTTAATCGACAAGAATACAAGCACGCTGATTCGAACGTTGAGTCGTATGTCCGTCAATAGCAGTTCTTGATCGATTATACTTTATGGCCGAACACGCTGCCCCCTATCACAAAAGTCTACGCCGCCATTGCTTTCCACGCGTGACTATCCTCAATTTAACCTCTATTTGGAAAATTATAATGCAAATGCTACTATAAGAGAAATGGTTCTGCCCCTTTTGACACTTCTTGCATTCTAGTCTTCAGCTGTACAACTACTCGAGTCTTGCTGGCCACAAGGTCAAACCCCAGACTGCTAGCACAGATGATAAGAACACGATATTGTTCTTTCTTCAAGACATACCGTTCATCATTCATCTTTATGGAAATGTCCCGCAACGTGAGCAATTTCCCCCTCTTTCTTGGTGCCGCCGCATCCTTCGCTTTAGGCTTTCTAGCTGTCCACCTATTAAAAGACAAGGGGGTAGAATCTAAGAAAATCGATTGCTTTGACAAGCTATCAGCGGAACTCAAATTCCAAATCTTCGAGCAGTGCGACTCAATGAGCGATGTGGCATCACTCATCGCGGCTTCTCCGTCAGTACGAGTTTGCTTCCGAGCAAACCAAGATAAGCTCCTTCGATATCGCATTTCCTATATCCGAGAAATATTCTATAATGATGAGCTTATCCCTTTGGCTTTGATGGTTGCGAGGATGCGACGTCGCTTGAAAAGGCGCTATGACATGTATCAACTTGTGGGACTCCTGGAACACTTTGTTCGTGGGGGCAGGTCTAAACTGTTTCAGCGGAAGTTTGACCACTGGCAAGAGAACCTCATACAGATCCAAGATCTCGTCAAAATCTGCACAGAGATTCAAGAGCTTTCTCCAAGGGCATGCTACAACTCATCAGCAGCATATGCAAAGCCCCTTCTATCCAAGCTGTGGCACCACAGATTCGTGGAAACCTATCTGCGTGAAGAGATCAGTACCGCTATGAAATACTATGGTAGCAGACTCATGTTTCCGCCCAGAAATAATCTCAGCCCTGAACTATATGTGTTCTTGTTCACGCGTAACTATGTGGGAAGCAGGCTGCCTGATAGTAAGTCCAACCAATCTACTACGCTATTAAATTGTGCGAAGCTAACATTCACGAGAACATACTGCTGATATAGTAGACACACATGTCTCTATTGGTCGGCTTGGTGCTAGAAGCTTCGGAGAGATGATTTCTATTGCTGGCGACCCCTTGAAAAGCCAGGGGATTTCGAAAAGAAGGAAGGCTGAGATACAAAGTTGGAGAGATATGCGAAAAAAAACCTGGAAGGAGGAGGATAAGAAGGTTCAGAATGGGCAAATGGTGGTTCAAAACGGCTTTGCACGGCCCCTGCGAGCCGATGAATTTGTTCAAACCTGAGCAACGACCATGACATCAAGGTATTTAGTACTGGATGATCATTGGCTATAGCGTTTTGCAATTTGAAGCTAGCCAAAGTCTCTTATGGAAGGAATTCCTTGAAATGCTTTCAGCATTTCTCCTAGACGGTGCCCATTCTTAATCTGACACCCTTCAACAACACTGGATATGAGAAACTCAAAAAGCAACACTCCATACTCAGCTAAATGTGAATTTATGCATAGTGCATCTAGCGATATAATAGAAGAATAAAACTCCCGCCTCAACTTTTATACATGCAGTCTACACGAATTATGATGATCCTTGGCTCTAACTACAGATGGCTCCGCTCGGAAAGGCTTGAACGAACAGCCATGGCAGCTCGTGTTCCTTCTTCAATGGCACCATCGATGAAACTACGCCATCCAAGAGCCCAGTCAGAGCAGGCAAAGATGATGTTGCCCTGTGTGGCTCGCATGTCGCCAAGATGATCGGTCAGCAGACCAGGTCGAGAGAAGAACCTGAAATTGTTAGCTTTATCATATCGAGGGCATGGGATTGACTTACCAAGCTCCCTTGGCAAACTCATCCTTGGACCAGTTGTGAAAGACCAAGCGCTTGATATCCATCGGAGCAAAGCCCTGAAAGGCAGCTTTGGTCTTTTCAATATCCTCCTCAGGATGGAAGTGGTTATGCTGGCCGCCAAATGCAACGATATGAGTGTTACCAGCAGGAGTAGTACCATCACCAAAACCATAAGAAAGCTTGTTGTGAGGGTAGCTGATACTAGTCATCGACCGAAGGTCTCGATCAGAAACCTCGGCATGAACCTTGGTGCACTGGTTGACATGGCCAATATCCGCCGCTGCCTTCTTCCCAGGCATCAGAGGAGGATCGAAATGCACATCGTTAAGAATGTTAAGAGGCATAGCGCTAATCATCTTCAACGCTCTGAACTTCTGACCACTTCTAGCAGTGACCTCAACGCCAGCAGGGCCGCTCTTCACTGAAGCAACAGGCGTGTTGAAAGAGTACGTCAAGTTTCCACTCGCCAAAGCCTCTTTGAAGAAACGAATAGAAAAGCTCGACTGGCCGCCCTTGAACTTGTACTTGACGAGATACTCGATGCAGCCTTGGTATGTATAACCGCTGAGAGCCCACCAGTGCAAGAACTCGTAGAAGCTAGTGGTTTCGAGGGTACCGCCGCTGCAGAGAAGAACGAAAGCTTCTAGGCATATACGCTCGTTGGGAGTGAGGTCGTTTTGAATCTCCGCGAGACGCTCTGCGATGGACATGCGGTCGTATTTGGCGGCCGTTGGGCCGAGATTTGCGCTGTGGGGGAAGACCAATGCTTCTCGACCGCCTTGGCCGTCAATGTTGACGAGCTTCTCAAGGCCACTTTGCATCAGTTGATCCTGGTTTCGTTAGTCTTGAGCTTTCCAAAAGCTTTTGGCAAAACATACCTCTTCCTCATGAGTGAACTTTTGAGTGCCCTCTGGTGTCACAAGAAGATACTTGTTGACGCCTCTTGAGAAGTCATATGAGATCTCAAGTTCATCTTGCATACCATATCTGGAGATCTCACGCCATACATTGGGTTGTCCCCAGTATACCCAGGTGCCACCCATTTCATATGGATAACCCTCTATGTTTGAGCTCCATGACCGGCCTCCAATTCGATCACGAGCTTCAATGAGCAACACTTTGAGGCCTGATGTTTGTTAGTAATGTGTTATGAGTTTAGAAGGTCTTGATACTCACCAGCAACGGCTGCATCACGAGCTGCAGTCAGACCACAGTAACCCGCACCAACAACAATCACATCAAACTTTGTGTTCTTGTCTGAGAGATTGGTAGGAGGATTGATAGCTCCAATGCATGGAACACCAGCCTTGAGTCCTTGGGACTCAGTCCATGAGAAGCCGTCTCGAGAAGACATTGTGAAGCTTCCTGGTCAAGTATGATATCAAAGACTGAATTACACGTCTTTCGAGTCAAGATAGCTCAATTGACTAAGCTCAAGAAGACACTGACACAAACAAAAACAAGAATGATAGGCAGAATCAATAGAAGTATCGTCGAGGACGGCTACTCATTTTATCCTCGGTCCGTGTTCTCATCTTCGCCCCAGTCCCCATTTCCACAAACGGCAATTTCGCGAGAAGATAACGACGATCCTCTATCTAGTCCAAAACCTCACGATACGAAGATATCGACCCATCGCGATATCAGCTATCTTTGAGGCGAATTACCGTATCCGGTAATTTCGCGAGAGACCCAAACAATCTAGATCTCCCCCGCAATCCGCTAAGACCCAGCATCAAGGTTGGCACTAGCAAACCCAGTTGCTTGGCTATCCCGGAAACCAATGAACTATGTCAATTTTCTCGTAATTCTGCCGGATGTGGTATATTCAGTGGAGATGCCTGATATCATAAAACCTGGGGTAATGGACCAGGCTTATCAGGATATCTCGGCAGATTGGAAGCCTTTGTATGATAACATGCCAATCAAGGCAGTGTAGATTGACGTTTTGTTGGAGATTTGTGCAACGGTGGCCCCCTTTCCCTGATACGTCTTATCAACGCAAGTGGCTCGGCCGTGTGACCTTGGAAACGAGTATATGAGTCAAGCGTTTTCTCCCTCAGATACTCCAACGAGAACACTTCATCATAACATAACACGATAACAGCCAAGATGACTTCTTCAACGCAGGAGGGCGCTTTGCAGCAGCGTCTCTCGACTTTGACAATGGTTGCTATGGCCTTTGCCATTCTCAAGTTCGTCATCCCCTGTGCTCTCTTGGCATTTGCTAACCCCTCGTCAGCACATGGATCGCACTCGCCGGCACCATGGCTTACATTCTCCCGTCTGGGGGTTCGGTTTCGTTCATCTATGGATTCATAGTCTGCGTTCTTTGTAACTTGGCTCTTGCTGCTAGCCTTGGAGAGATGGCTGCACTTTGGCCAACTGCAGGTAGGACTGGACTCGAGTATGTCCCAGGAACAATGGCTAATTGCTCTTAGGTGGACAGTATCACTTCATGTACGCCATTTGTACACCGCGATGGAAACGACCTATGGTACGTTCACCCAGCTATCCCACGAACAAAGACTAACACTTGATAGAGTTTCTTCATTGGATGGACCAACATTGCTGGTTGGTTGACTGTTGTCACAACACAAGCCTTCTTTGCTGGTAAGACATTCCCAAATTGGCATCTTTAAGCCATATACTAACTGTCGGGATATAGCTCAGTTAGTATCCGCCGCAGCCGTCGTCGCTTCGAATAACGCATACGAGGCAACTCAATGGAAGACATATCTCTTCTTCCTTGCCATTCTTACCTTCGGAACGGTCGGCAACGTCTGGGGAAACAAGATCCTTGGCCGTTGGAATGACATGGCTCGTAAGTGCCCTGTTAATATATCCTGTCCCACCAACTGACGCAATTGACAGTATATTGGTCTGTGCTCTCGGTCGTTATTATGAGCATCATCCTCCTTTCCATGTCTCCCAAGACAGATGCTCGGCAAGTCTTTACAGAGTTTAGAAACGAGACTGGTTGGTCAGATGGTGTCGCTTGGATCCTTGGCTTACTTCAATCTGCCCTGTCCCTCATCGGCTTTGATGTTGTCTTGCATCTAACTGAAGAGATGCCCAACCCTTCGAGGGATGCACCTCGAGCTATGATGCTAGCTATAGTCATTGGCGGTGTCACGCAAGTTGCCCCATCTCTTCAGCTCTATGGCCGTTGCTAACCTGGTTCAGTGGCTTCCTCTTCATCCTAGTTATCCTCTTCTGCCTTACAGACCCAGCAACAATCCTCGCCTCCAACACAGGCATGCCCATCGTTGAACTCTTCCTCCAAAGCACAAAGAGTCGCGCCGCAGCAACCATCTTGGCCCTGATGCTAAGCGTCTGTTTCATCAATGGCACATCAGCCAGCATCACCAGTGCGAGTCGTCTTCTCTACGCCATGGCTAGAGACAAGGGTATCATCTGCCATAACTACTTTGCACACATTGAACCGAAACTCGATGTCCCCGTCCGCACAATTACCTTGTGTTTCATTTTCAACGTCCTCTTTGGGCTCTTGTATCTTGGTCCTGCTGTGGCTTTCAGTGCTTACATTGCTTCGTGCACTATCTTCCTCAACGTCTCTTATGCCGGACCTGTCGTTGCGTTATTGGTCAGAGGCAGAGGTATTCTCAAGGAGTACCAGACAAGAAAGACACCAGCCAGGATGGGCTTGAGGACTGGTGCTGTTGTCAATGTAATTGCGAGTGTCTTTGTCATCGTCATCACCATCGTAAGCACAAGATATCTTGACTCTTTCAACTCCTCGCTGACTCTGCACAGTTTTTCTGTTTTCCGACTGCCCTTCCTGTATCAGCTAACACCATGAGTAAGCATATCTGCCCTTAGTATCAAGAAGTTTACTAACCTGGATAGACTACGTTTCCGCTGTCGTTGGCGTTTTCTACTTACTTCTTGCTTTATACTGGATGGTCTATGGTAAGACCTTCGAAGGCCCTGTAAGTCAAACTCACAACCCAAGGAAGAGTCTCGTCAGCTTCTAACATAACTTCCAGAACTTTGAGGCCATCATTGGGCAACCTTTGCAGATAAAAGGGGAGCATGAGCCGGAAGCAGTGCATGAGAAATCTTCAACTTCAACAAAGGCCTGACTCTTAATACGATATTTATTGCGACTCAGAGGACAGTTATTTTAATAAGACATATGTTCAGATCAATGTTACGATGAGAAATGAGGAGAAAGCAATGACTTGCAAGCTTGCGAACAAACAGTAGACGATTGTTTGCAAGACAAATCCGTCGGGATCTTTCCATCCCAATGACTCTTAGGGCAAGAAATCGTTTGAATATCAAGGAATTAGTCTAAAGATCCACTAAATTACACTAAACTTACCTAAATCTTTTCTCCGCTCAGGATATGCTGAGGCCCTCAGTTTGCACCTTCGAAACGACTGAGATGAGGACGGGTATTGGGTAGAACT